TGCTCGTCATTTATATATTTATGTCATGCAAGAGGGAAAGACTAAAATATGAAGGAAACAGGTTTACAATCTCAGCTTATGAGGGTATTCATGTAAGAAAGAATGTTTTAAGTCATTTTAGAGTCCACATAAAAACACATCTAGGTTGTCATAACACAAACAAAAGGCATTGCAGATTAGCCCGATGTCAATGCTTGGCGAGCACAATCCATAGTAAGCATATTGCATCCTACTACTCTCAGCCTGCTACAGGTTATCCTACTCAATCAAAACGCAAATAAACTATACGTTTATTTCAGAATTTTATGGAAAGATTTTATGATTTTCTGTAATGAATTCCTTAAGAGTATCAGCCCAACATACATCTCAAAAAATGCATGCTAATGTACCATCTCCAGCTGATCTGCAATGTTGGATACAACTTGGCCAAAGTTTTTTTTTAGAATTTTGTAGAAAAGTATGGGCAAGTGGTCAATGAATTTTTAAAAAAATTCATTTTATTCAGGCAGAATATATAATCTAAGAACCTACCAATCCAAACAATTCAAAACATTACAAAACAATTTGCATATAAAAACAAGACAGAAAGAATGTAAACATCATGGATCGACCCTTCACTCCATCTACTATCCTGTAGTTAAACCATTCAGAATATACATAATCACATAGGGAAATCAAGAAAGTAACTTCCTAATTTCCCTATTCCTAAAATACCTCAAATTTTTTACCAGTGGAAAAGACCAACTCTGCAATATTTGAAAGTCATGGATTAAAGGGAATCCATGGTCTTAAAAACATGAAGGAAAACATTTAAGTCAAAGTTAAGCCATGCGCGCTAAATCTTACCAAATATGAATTGCCCTATTATTTTAATAATTTTTAAAAATTAATTAGATATTTTTAGAAAAATTAGAGAAATTATCAAAAATAGGTTTTGACTTTGAAAATATTTTTGAAAGATAAGTGGAAAACGTTTTTTAAGAAAAATAGTATTAAAGATCATTAGAATAATAAAAACCATTATTGATCTTTCTAGAAACTACAAGAATATTTGTTTTAAGTGTTCGCAACGGCGCCAACCTTCTTAGAGGATAATTATACACAACAACAACAGCAACAACAAAACATTTATCCCACTAATTGTGGTCAGCTACATGAATCCTTTTTCTCCATTGCGTCCTATTTAGTGTCATATTTTCATTTAATCCTAATAAATTAAGATCATTTTTTATACAATATGCCCAAGTATCCTAGGTCTGCCTCTGCCTTTCTTAACATAAGTCGAATCTAAAACATCTCTTCTAATCGGATCATCAGATGGTTGACGTTTAATGTGACCAAACCATCTAAGACGACTCTCTCTAATTTTGTCTGTCATTTGATATACACCAACCCTATCACGAATATATTCATTTCACATTTTGTCTCTAAGTGTAAAGCCACTCATCCACCTAATCATTCTCATCTCAGCAGCACTTAACTTAGTTTTATGCTTCTCTTTTAAAGGCCAACATTCAGCGCCATAGAGCATTGCAGGTCTCACCACCATCTTATAAAATTTTCCTTTCAGTCTAAGCAGTACTTTCTATCACACAATAGACCCTAAGCATTCCTCCACTTCAACCAACAAAACTTGATTTCTACAAATAACATCCCCATCAATATTACCATCACTTTGAACAATAGACCCGAGATATCTAAAGCGTTCACACCTTTCAATAATTTGATCACCCATAGTTACATTTCTGTCACTAGAGCTACTACTACTAAAATTACATTCCATGTATTCAGTTTTAGTTGACAAACGAAGACCTTTAGACTCCAAGCTAGACCTCCATAATTTAAGTTTTTCCTGAGCTTTTTCTCTCGTCTTTTCCACGAGACGGATATCATTAGCAAAAAGCATACACCAAGGTACATCCTCCTCTAACTTTCCAGTAAGACCATCCATAACTAAAGCAAAAAGATATAAGCTTAAAGTCAATCCCTGATGTAAACCAAAAGAAATAAGAAAATATTTGGTCAATCCTCCTTCTGTTCAAACAGAAGTAACATTCTTGTATGCATATCTTTAATGACTTGAATATAAGTCATATCAACACCTTTCTTCTCAACAACTCTCCAAAGGATATTTTTTGGAACCTTATCATAAGCTTTTTCTAAATCAATAAAAATCATATGCATACCCTCCTTATTATTTTTGAACTTCTTCATCAAACCTCTAAATAAATGTATAGCTTCCATAGTAGACCTGCCCGACATAAATTCAAACTCATTATGAGAAATCTTTGTAATACGTCCTAACCTATGTTCAATTACCCTCTCCCATAATTTTAAAGTATGGCACATCAACTTAATTTCTCATTAATTGACACACTCTTGTGCATCCCCATTGTTCTTAATAATTATACATAAGCAAGTAAAAATGGGCAAGGGAGAAAATATAACTCAGCTATAATGAGCCCACTGGAAATCTCTTCTAGCATCTCCTTTAAATGCAATGCCATCAGACGAACTAGAAGTGAACTTGATCAAAATCCCACTATACTTGATTATTCCTAAACATAATAGAATGAGTAAATTAGCATTGTAAAAGGGGTCGTCACTCGACGCCCACAACCCGGGCATCAGATGATCAAAGAGGGCGTTATATGCCCTTTGCTCTACACATGTATGTGATGCCAAGAAATGTTGGGCACGAGCAAGGGAATCTATATAGTAGGGTGAAGCCAATGGCTAGCATGTGAGCTATTGAGGACTGGGTGATGCTTGCAAGTAGGACCGCCAAAACTGCTCGTTGTTCGCGAACACACACACACACACACATACATATGTATATACATATAATTGATGAGTAATATTTTTAAAAAAATTAAATTGTCTACAAGGCTAAAATGATTTATAATCAATTAAATTATTAATTAAAAATACAATTGAACTATATTAAATTATATTTAAATGATGTTTTAATAATAAAAAGATTTAAATCTCATTCTACCCTTAACATCCTATGGCTGTGTGACTAGGGTTGTCAAAACAACTCTTTTTTAGCGAATAGCTTGTGTTCGACTCGCTAAGCAAACGAGTCGAACACGAACAAATTTTTTTTGTTCAAAATATAAAAGAGTCGAACAAGAACAGTGATATTTTTTAACAAGTCGAACACAGGCTGAGCCCAAGCTCGCTCTTGTTCAGCTCGTTTACACCCATGCTTGCAAGAGATGTAAGGGAAAAACATTCTAGAACTCTATGTTGAATATAAATCAACAACGTTTATTTCAAAATGAGGGCTACGAAAAATTATCACGTAGTTCATATTGTTCAAAAACAATAACCAACAAGGGAACACATATGAACCAAAAGGGGTAAATACATGAGCTCATGAAAGATGCTTTTCTAGACCAGCTGCTTTATGTTAATCCAATAGCAGCAATACAAAACTAGCAATGTTATTTCGCGACATTAAAGGCAAAGTAACTTCATAATATCCAAGATGACCAATAAGGATCCTAGGCTCCCTTGCTTCTTATCATTTCTTTAAGAACAGAGGTTAAGACAATATGAATACTATCCTATTTTGATAATATCTAAATTACGTGAATAATAGAAATATTATTATTATTAACATTACCTCGATCTAGGAGAGCAGTTAAACTAACACCCTTAAATGATATCTAGCTTATAATATAATATTCATAACACCGACCAAAAAAGCTACTAGTTGCTTGATAGGTTATGAAATTAGAAAAGGATCGCCTTGAAGAAATGAGCCATAGTACAAAAAAACATTAGGCTCGCTAAACAATGAATTCTAGCCACTAGAACCTTTTCAAGATAGCTACACATAAAAGTACTTAATTATACAAGAAAACAAGAAAATATTCATCATTTATAAATAAAACATGTAGAACACACATAATTTCCATAAAATAAAAATCACCGGATAAAGTGAAATCATCATGACCATAAACCATATCCTAAATTATAGTCCATAAATGACATTAATAATTTCAATTATTAAAGAAAAACCAATTGCAAAACAAAATTTAAAAACCCAATATATAATAAGACTCAAACGGTTTAATAGAACAGCACGAGAGGAATTAGCTGCCCTCACTGTATGCAACATCATGAGTACATATCCAACTGGCTTATCATCAACAGCAGCAGCATCAAAATTGACAATTTACTCAAGCAAGCAATGCATTAGGCCCTCAAAAGTACACACAAGCCAAGAGAAACAAATAACCATCCTCAAGGGTGACAAGAAAGTCATGGAATCAATGTACCTCAAAATTGAAAACCGATAAAAATGCCATGAAAATAACTAGAATAAGAGAATTAGTCCCCATATAAAGAAAATAGACACTCAATTAATGATAATAAAAGGCTCAAAGGCTCATCCCTTAGAAGTAAAAATTATATATGAAAATCAAGGCCAGAAGCACAAGCAAAACACCAACCGAATGGCAACATAAGAAAACAAGCACCTAAAAGGACCCCGAATCGCAGCATCAAAACAGCTTCTTTTTGCAGAAATCAGTATAATTAAATTGTTTTTTAAATAATGATCAACTTCCACAAACAAACAAATGGAGACTGACTGTGTATGTACCAAAAAACCGTTTATACAATAACATGATAAAGAAAACGAATTGAGCTGAATATTAACCGCGTAATAATCAGCAGTCATTGACAGTAGAAAAGCACAAACTTCTCGAAGAAATAAAGTATAAGAGAAAGCAAAGAACCTCAGTTCTAAAGGGTAGCCTTGGAGACCCACAAGATAAGGGGACATGCAGAGCAGGGAAGAGAGAGTTAGGGTTTAAGAAGCTCAACAGAAACAATGGTTTTAAGTCTCTGGTGTGCGCATTTAAGCTTAAAAGCGTGTAACTAAGTAAAATCTCGGCTTTTTAGCAATCTTACTACCTAGAAAACACATAATCATGAAAAAACTTCTTTGGAGTTCAGCATTAAAACATTTTAATATAACAAAATACCTAGACAGAAGAGACCGGGAAATCAGAAGGGGGAAGATCCACAAGAGCAGCGAATGGAATCGGCGACAGTTTTGCCGCGAGGAAGGGTTCCACGAGAAAATATGGCTTAATTCCAAATGTAATGGAAAAATATTAGCCAGATTTTTACATTCAAACCACACAAATTAGAAAAATTATTACATCAAGCAATCTAGAGCGGTCACATGAAAAGTCGTGGCGCATCTCCATAAAAAAAAAAATAAGTATAACAACGCGCGATCTGGCCCTACCGTATTATAAAAATATTTCTTTCGTATTATTCTGAAAATTTTTTTACGTTTTTGATGTGTTGTTGATGTGTTATTGAGTTGATTTTGAGATATTATTGCTCTTTAAATAATAATATCAATAACACATGAATAACGCGAAAAATATTAATTCAATAACACATGAATAATACGCCAATAACACATTAAAAACGCGCGACCCGGCTCGACCGTGTTAAGAAATATTCCCTTCGCGTTATTTTGAATATTTTTCGTGTTACGAATAACGCGAAAAATTTTACTTCAATAACACATGAATAATACACCAATAACACATTAAAAACGCTCGACCCGGCTCGACCGTGTTAAGGAAGATTCCCTTCGCGTTATTTTGAATATTTTTCGTGTTATTCATGTGTTATTGGCGTGTTATTAAGTTGTTGTTCATGAATAACATACAAATAATACATTAAAAACACAAAAAATATTTCCTGGCATGAATAACATTTAAATAACACACCAATAACACATGAATAACATAAAAGAATATTCAGAATAACGCGAGGGAATATTTGGTAGGGTCAGGTCGGCATTTTCAGTCTTTTTTTCTTTTTTTTATGCAGGTGGGCCTCAGCTTTCCACGTATTAACTCCAAACTGGGCTCCGCAAATAACTCTATATGCGGAGTCCTGATCTAATAATTTTCCGTTTAGTTACTTGTCTAACACTTTAATTTTATTTTATTATATCATCTTATTTATTAGTAAAAATTTATACTTCACTTTTTAAAAGTTAAAATAATTATATTTTTTATAAAATAATTTGTTGATATAAATGCCGAAAATAAAGCTAATTTGTGATATATGTAAATATATAAAAATTGGGTGGTATGTGTGTGTTTTTTTTTCATTTTTTTCGTTTGTTTTGGGTGGTATGTGTGTTAAAGCCCCAAAACATTATGACTTAATTATTAATAAAATAAATATTAAACTTTTTTTTTTGTTTTGAGATTATTATCAAATAAATTTTGATTATTTTTCTACAAAAATAATTTCAAAACTAATTAATAATTTTTAGGTTATTGTAATTTATCCATAAATTTAACATTTGTTTTCGCATCACAAGTATGATATGAGAACAAATTATAAATCAACATCATAAATTTTATACTATAAAATTAAAAAAAAATGTTAAATAAATTGATTACTTGAGCATGTTACATAAAAATAATATTATAATATGTTGATGAGAATTATAGATGATAAAAAATTTTCATCATAATTTCTCATTAAAAGTTTTTAAATTTGCTCTGAGATGAGTAAAATATTAATTATATGTACCCAATAACTTTTACAATTTTTTATTTATAAAAATTCCTCTTCAATTTCATGCCATCAAATTTTATTCAGTAAAAGTCATGTAGGGGTTCAAGTAAGAAGCAACCTAACTAATCTTTATTTACAAAATATAAGACAAATGACTCAACAAGTGATGACATAATAAAAAGTCCAATTGATGAAAATGTTAAAAACACCTTTGATACAATCTCAAATAGTGAGAAGAGCATATAAAATTTAAACTTAATTAATAACCAAATAAAAATATTTATATTGTGGAAGGTTATGACCTCAAAACCTGAATGTTAAGAGGGATACAAGCAAGCTAAATAAGTATCTAGTAACTATTGAACCATATATGTCCTCGAATTACACCAATGAAATAGAGCATTAGAAAGGAGAGAGTGTGTGAGGAGAGAGAATGAGAGAGCTAAGCAGCGGAGTTAATGAAAGGATGAGTTGGATGATAGAGACAAGTGGATTTCTTCTTAGCTCTAATGGATGAAAAATTCCCACAAATCTGACTACAATATACATTTAATATCTTATATTTTTAGAGGTTGATATTTATGAAAGCACTTATTGGAGCACATATCATCCCTACACCTCTAGGCATACATGGAAGTTTTATTGGTCATATCCCAACTAATAAAAGGGCCTTGGAGATATCATCTTGTAGCTTACTTCCTTAGTGAATAGAGGTGACTTCGTCCTTTGGTGATTCTTGTAATTGCCCCCCCATTACTCGGTCTTTCGTAATCGATCTCTCAAACTCAGCCATAATTGTTTAAAACTTCGAACTAGCCTTTTCTTCGTTCACGCCCAGATTGACTTGTCTATTTAATTGGCTCATATTGGAAGGCAGGCCGATAGGCATTCAACCTTCACTGGTCTGAGTACCCACTTTTGTTTGTACATATTTAGTTTCTCAATTATCTCGTATCATAGGAAGAAATGTTGTGACAAGAACGACTGAATAAATATAGTAATTAATCCTGACTTTTAATGAACGCTTATAATTTGAATACTCCATATGTTTCTTGAACTCATTTATTTTAGCATCTTCCATGACTTCTTAGATTATGTCATTTCTCGCTTGTCCATTTGGCCCTAGCAGATCTTACCTGATCACATATGAACATCCCAGATAAGGACCTGCTTCACAATATATTCCACAAGCTGAAGCAGTGATAATTTTAGTGATTTATTTCGTAGCAGACTGAATGTCCTTAACAGGTTAATTTTCCCAACCAGTTAAGGACATGTCACTATCACTGCTTCTTAACAGTATCACTAAAACAATTACCAGACAAGGTACTGCTTTTTAGTAAATTTAGAGAATTAGTGATAGTTTGGTAGAATTCCCTGGCTCAAATTAAAATCGAATTTATTTCCTAGCTAAGGCTAATTAAATTGAGTTAGAACTTTTCCTAATTCTTTAAAATTTATTATCTTCCCAGTAGGTTTGATGCTTGGGACTAAGAAAAGTCCTATATTACTTGAATGATTCGTGCACTTGCGTTATTATCTAGCATTTTGTGCTTAACATAGGTAAATCTTTAGTTATAAAATTTATAAAATATATTTTAAAATTATTATTTTAAATCCCTAAATCACTAGGTATACCAAAGGTCGGTCACTCAACCAACAGGCTGTGGTAGAGATTCAAAGGTCGTTAAACTTGTTTCTTTGTTCTAATTTTCCGAAAAATGCAATGAATGTGGAGCCCCAAACTCCATTTGCGGTGTGGTTCAAATTTTACCACAGAGAATAACCCGCTCCTAACGCAGTCTTAAAATTTAATCTATACATATATGCCACCTCATTTATACATGAAACTGTGCATTTCATTTTTTAAAATTGTAATAATGATATTTTAATATGATATGAAAGATTTGGATTGTATACATATGATAATAAAAATTAACCATTAGATATATATGAAAATACATAAAAATTGAGTGATATGCATTTAAATGACCCATTATATCTTGCTTTGTCTTGCATCACGGAGTTCAGTAAAACATACCTAAATTCGGCCTCTTTCTTTTAATTTGTTTGGTTGTTTTTGTTGTTACCCATATGACTCTTACTTCGTTATATATATATTTTTAGTTTTCTGGTTTTGTTGTTTTTATGTTTTTCCTTTTTTTTTTCTCCTGTTTTTCCTTTATTGATATTGATTTTTCTCTTTTTGGTTTGATGGTGGGTGGAGCAATGATATTTTCCAACCATATATTATAATTCTGCCATACTTTTTTATATATATTATTCTTTAATATATTGATGAAATTTTATTATTTTATATGCAGGTATGTTTTAAGATTTTTTTTTTTATTTATATTGGTGTTTTTGTGTTTATTTTTGTTTTTTTGGGGCCTATTTGATTTTCTTTGTTTATATTTTTTGTCCTCTTTTTTTTTTTTTTTTTTTTTTGAATCCAAGAGACTCCTGAAAACACACCCAAGATATAGAATGTTGTGCAAAGAGAATCAAGAGAGAGGGTGTAGCTAAGAATCACAGGAATGTGTAATCTTTATTCATGGTATAGACCCATTATTTATAGTGATAAGTCTCAATCTTACAAAATTACTGGTCAATCCTCTTATCGTCAGTTTCAGAGAGACTTTTTAGTAATTACAAAGGTAGTTGATTGTATTAAGGCTAGCGAATTGATGTTGGTTGGCAAGGGGGTCATCAACAGCTTGCCTCACCTTAACTCCATCGATATTTGACCCAAAAATTTAACAATCTATTGATCAATTTTAAGATCGATTGTCATCCAGTGAGAAATCCTCTGGCACGTCCCTTCAATCGATCGATCTAAACACCTCCTTTACTAGAATTAATATGTCGATCGTTAATTGAAATGTTGACCGATCACGTGATATTTTTTAGCAGGTCGTTTTGTCTTGAGATTCGTGCTGACACATTTTTTTGTACATGTTTCGTTCCTGGATTCTCTTGCTCCTTGAAAGCTGCAAAGCACACAAGTTCAAGGGAATCTTTTTAGCATGGAAGAAATAATTGATTAACATTATTGCACAATAATGAGCTTCCCTAGATTTTCATGTCCGGGTCACTATAAATAAGCCATGTGATATGGAAAGTTTGTGTCTTCTCCTCTCATTCTTATTCATTGGATTTTCAGTCTTTTCCACTTCATATCTACTACTATGTATGGAAGAGGAGAACTGTCTGTTGATAGAGACGCCCTTCTCAAGGCCATTAGTGACATGTGGGCAAAAGCTCGCAAACCAGACGTGAAACGGAAGCCAACGAGCGATTTCTCTATAGGGAAAGTGAGTAAGAAGAGGGTTGTGCTAAAGCCATAAACATAGGTGTTATGGAGTAGGGTGTCTTTGGGTTTCCTCGTGGGCTTGTTGCATAAGATGGTTGCAGGGCAGGTTGGAAGCCGTTTGCGACATTTTCCTTACAGGGCACCCGTCAAAGGTGAATGTTCCTACCGGAGGAGAAAAAATGTCTATTCAGGTTTTTATAGGGGTCGTAGTTCCCCAAGGAGGCCTTAAGGGGACTTTGGTTGAAGTTGAGGCATCGT